TGTGGTGTGTGTCATCTTCTGCAGGACCAGACAAACCTCTGGGTAGGGCAGTCTGTCTCCTCCTGGGTTCCAGGAACCGCTTCTGGTCGGGGTTTGAGCTCTGTCGTGCTCTTTTCATCAAAGCACCGCAAAAGCCTCTGGTTCTGCAAGAGACCTTAACACGGGCCGTTGAATGAAACAGACCCTAGAAGTGTCAGATTTGGAAAACCCGCTTCTTTTCAGCTCTTCTGGCAAAGGAGGGTGGCCACAAAAGGATGTTGCTGTGGGGTCCTGACTCACTGGCGTTAATGTGACTCGTCAAGTGACCAAATTGCTCATAAATATAATGGAGATCCACAAATAAGTGTCAATTAAGAATAATAATCCAGCCCTCTGATGTTCCCACATATTACAAATGCAGATCAATTTCTATCTCCTAAAATGTCTGTTTCTCTCAGAAGTTGTTACCAATTTCTTGCCAATCAAACATAACAATAGGGTGTACAATAACCCACTATAGACGTAGGACCGGTCCTCAGCGTTGGTTTTAGAGGTGAGTCTGGAGCCCTAGGAGAGCATGAAGAACTGTACAAACCGGACTCTGAGAAACTCCTCGGTGAGATAACTGTTGGAAGTTGCTACTTTGAGGGGACCTAAAAGTACTGGAGGACAATTCCTTGCTCAGCCTCACCCAGCAGGGTTAGCTCGGGGAGGAGAAGATGGCGAGAGATTAGTCTGTCAAAATACCAGACGCTTCGATCTGATCTAGTCGCTCCCTTGTTTGTTTTACAATCTGCAGGGTCTTATTTGGCGCAGTCGTGGGTGTTTCTCCTCACCCTGAAGCAGATGTCTAAGGCAAAGCAACCTCACTGCACGAGTCCCTGTTTCTTCCCATCCTCTATAAAAGCTGCCAGCGCGGCAGGATGAATCTCAGGGGGAGAAACTTGAACGCGATGCACTGACTCTGTCCAGCAAAGAGGAGTGGAAAGACTGACCAGACCATTTGGTGCGGCTGGGAGGGTGTCAAGAGCAGCGCAAATCCATCAGCTCGCATGGGCTTCGGGCAGAAATTCCAGTTTCCCCACGCAAATGCTAGAAAGGCGCCAGTGCTAATCCCTGCGATTTTCCAGCGGGGCTCCGGGTTTCCAGTGTAAACAGGATGCGCTGCTCGCGCTGCACGGGTTGGTTGGGGTTCTTTTGCCCATTTAACGTTTGTGTAGTGATGTCATTGGGGAATTTGGTCACCTAAATGCCTGATGGTCACATGCCACCAGCGTGGTTGGGAATATCTCAGAGAAATAAAGATTTTTTTCTCTGCTGCGGACCTGAGTGAGATACCATGATCAGCAAAAGGCTTCGATATGTTAATATGGAGTCCTAGGCCTAAATCCCACTTAAACTAAAGCCCTTTACACCGCTCTGGCGGTGAAAAAAAAGCCTTTAAAATGAGCGCCCCTTTACTTTACCCTGAATGGCTTGAAGAGATCCTCAAGGTAACTGAAACTGTCCCCGCACCAGCATTGCCAAGCATGAATGTTGTTAATGGAGGATGGAGCGCGATGGGTTAGATGTATTTAATTTTTAAAAAGGAATTGGAGAAACAGATGCCTCAACAGTCTGGGGAAGCGCTGCTAGCCTGCTGTAGGATTAGCTGTTTCTCACTATGAGAATTAGGACGTGAGATTTCTCACAGTAAATCAGATCAGTTGTCCATCTTCCTTAATCACAGCTATCCGTCCTTACCGCACTGAAAAAAAAAAAAACCTAAGGTATCATTCAGACATTTATGGAAATGAGAAAATGAAAATATCCAAGCATAATAAATCTTCTTTTCTTTTGAAAAGCAATTAATACAGTACCTCTTTTTTTTTTTTTTTTTTTTTTTTTTTTTTTTTAAATTACCGTGTCATTCCCGTTGGGAACCACATGACTTGGGTATAAGGTGGAAGTCGAATTTGCTCAGGATCACGTGTTTTTCCTGGAAGAGGTTTTCCATCAAAAATTAGGATGTAAACAAATATGTAAAGCATGTATAGGTGGAGCCTGCTCAGGTAGTTAGTGGTCAGGTGTCCATACCCCTGGGCTCCCTTGTTTCCGGAGATGACGCCAAGCAAGCCATATAAAAAGGTTTGCATTTTGATGCTCACACCAGTTCGTTTGGCTTCTCCTTCACTCCCCTGCATTGGTGAACTGGTAAGTCTTTCTTGGATTTATCAGGGAATAATACAACGGCTCTGTTGTGATTGTTCCGCTCAAGGGAATATATTACGGCTCACAGGAGAGCTTTGCTTCTGGTTGTTTCTGTTCCGGGATTCCTCCTGGAATGCGGGAGAGGATGTTCAATTTAGAGTTTGCTCTTTCTTAAGGAACTTGCAAATGCTCCTGTCACCTCTTCAGAAACTGTGACTGTCTCTCATCCTCGTTTGTATTCTATCCATCTTCATTAATTTATTCATACCTCATTTATTTTGGAAATTAAATAAATGAGTGGATGCGGCAGGGTTAGTCTCGGGACTTCAAAAGAGATGGGTGGGAAGAAGCATTATCTGAAAGAAAGGAGCGGCAGAATACCCGAGAGCAAAGCTGCAGGGGACAAGAAGTCAAGATGAGGAAATGAATTGGAAATAGGAGCTGCAACCTGCGGGCCAACCCTTCCCTTATGGAAGGATAAACCCATTAACTCTGACTGAGCTCCAGTGAGGTACCATGATACAACACTGGAGGAGTTGGGATAGCGTCTGATTTTGGGGGTCTTCAGACTTTGTCCTCGGGCATCGGCAGCTCAACGTCTGCGCAAAGGGGGATGTGCCCTGTGGTGTGAGTGAGGAACTGGAGCAGCGATAAACCAAAAGGTGGGGCCTGGAAAGTTTTCTTAAAATGAGGGAATGAATTATTTTTCATGTTACGGCTTCGACAAAGTTTAACTGTGGGCAGCTATAAAATTCAGGGCTGATGGCTTGAGTCTTCCTAACAGTGGTGCTTGCAGGTTCCCAAGGGGAAAAAAAAAAAAAAAAAAAAAAAAAAAGATAAATCTGGCAGTGTTAGTTGCACATGTCTGAATCCAGAAATCATTCACACATGCAATTTTTTCTCACAGTCCTTTGCTCAGTCCAACAGCTGACTGCTACTTATGTTTCAAGAGCTCAGGTTGTGAATTGTGGCTCGAGAAGAAAGGACGAGCGTCCTGATTTTGCATCTCTCTTTTTATCTTTGTCTGCAGCTTTCCCGGCACCTCGGAAGGATGTCTTACTACGAGCAGTGCAAGCAGCCCTGCCTGCCCCCTCCCATTTGCGTGCAGAAATGCAGCCCATGCGCGGCGCCTTGCAAGACGGTGTGCGTGGAGCCCTGCAGTGACGTCTGCGTGAAGCCGTGCTCCACGCAGTGCGTGGAGGTGTGCCCAGTGCCCTGCGCCACCCAGTGCACCCCGTCCTGCACCACCCAGTGCGTGGAGCCTTGTGCCACCCAGTGCACCACGTCCTGCCCCGTCCAGTGCGTGGAGCCTTGCGGCACCCAGTGCGTGGAGCCCTGCCCCGTCCAGTGCGTGGAGCCCTGCAGCACCCAGTGCGTAGAGGTCTGCCCCCCTAAGTGCATCGACGTCTGCGTACAGCCGTGTGCCACTCAGTGCCCCACCCCGTGCGTGGAGCCCTGCGTCACTCAGTGCCGCACCAAGTGCGTGGAGCCCTGCCCGCCGGCCTGCGTGGAGGTGTGTACCACCAAGTGCGTTGATTCCTGCGAGACCGTGTGCCTGGAGTCGCGTGGCACCGTCTGCTCTCGCCGGTGCTGACGGCTTTAACACACGAGCCTTGCACGCAGCCCTGGCGCTTCGGAGCATCGCAGCGTCCACCGGCTCACGTGCATCCACGGAATGAAAACCAGGTTACAGACCCGCCTGCAACGTACCGAGACCTCTCCCGAGCTGGCCACCCCATGCTCTCTTTTTTGTCTTGCAAAATATTTCTCTGAATGTTTCCAGTCTGTATCTTTGCTTCCTATGATAATTCTGCTACCGGCGTCTCAGCACCTGCAGTAACTGCCGTTGGCCAATGTTGTACCGCTGGTCACCTTGGGAAGGTATTCAGCAATGGCCGTGCTGTCAGGAGTTGATGTCGGAAGATGTGTCCCCTTCTACTCTTTAATTCTCATCTCGTCTTTTAATGCAACAATAAAAAAATTGACCGTCAACAGCATCATGCGTCTTCTGTCATTCTTTCCTCTCCCTGTTTCCATATTTTTGGGCACGAGTCCATCTTCCCTTCGTTTTAATTAAAAAAAAAAATTAAAAAAAAATTAAATGGCATGGTTGTGGAGGATCGGTGCCTGCAATGCAGTGCTCTAAACAGAGAGAGCACGCTGTATAACGTGGAGCAACATCTTCTAATGCTACAGGCAACACATCATCTGGGCAATAGTTTCCTGACAGATAACAAACAATCAAACAAAATTCATAGAATTTATAGTACTTGACAATAACGACAGAAAGATAATTTTCGTGTTTATTAACGAGGGAATTTTGAGTTTTGTCTCTCTTACGGAATTTGGAGACAAATCTTAGAAACTGTTAAAATGCAAATTTAAGCGGAAGAAAGCCCCAAATCCGAGAAAGAAGGAACTGAAACACTATTTCTGGGAAATATTATATTATTTCTGAACTATTATTTCTGGGATTTTAATTATTTCTTAAAAACACTCAGATGGAGGTGAAAATGGTATTCTCGATTAATTCTTCCCATGAATTCCTCACTGACTAAATATAGAAAATAGGGAATTTGGCTTCGGGAGATGAATCTTTTTGTGGTTCAGGAACAGGTCCGAGCTGCAAGATTTTTTTTTTTTTTCCTCCCCCAGGTTTGCTGCAGATAGCTCGTGTGGGTTTGGGCAGGTCTCACTCTTGTCTATCCGTTCCCCATCTGCGATGAGAATTCACATCCCTGACTGATAGAGTGGTTGGCATTTCGGGTTCGTTAACGTCAGGCAGGTGCAGTGATATTTTTATTCGATTATAAACGCAGCTTCTTTATTTGGAGACGTAATTTCGAAGCGGAAGGAGGCCCATTGTCTGGAGGGACGTTATACCCATTTAAAGGCTGGGTTTCAGAGATAATGATCCCATTGTCTTCCCAGCTGTGCATGTGACTTGCTTACCTCTGTCTCTGTGACGGCCACACCATTTCCATGTCTGGGATGTAGAGAATTGCTATCCACCTACCATATCATTATGGCAAGGGTGGGGAATATCTAATCTAGAAAAGAAAAGAGTTATATTTAGGTGCGTGTAAACACTCTTACCAAATCAAGCTTTTAATGAAACCCTGTGTACAGGTGTAGAGAGTTCGACAGTGGATTCCTTTTTGTGTTATTTCTGTCAACACCAAAAGGTGACACCATCAAACAGGAATAATGATGAGCAAAACAGGTCCCAGTCAGGCAAACAAATCCTAACACCTGGACACACCTTCCCGTCCAGATAGACGAAGAAGTGGGGATAGGTGGATCAGCTGTTCAACAGCACAAAA